CAGCACCTCAAAACAGTCTTACTTTGAAAATGAATAAATGATAAAAGGAAGACTGAGATATCCATCGTGTTTACTCTTTTCTTTTATCTGAAAGACTTAATATGGTTTAGTGAACACACGCTTTTGACTCTAAGGTCCCCTGGCGGGCAGAAAAGGGTACTAGATTAGGAAAATTCATCTGGAAAGAGGAAAAGTTAAAGCATGGTTCACAGTGGATACATGATGTCAGGCGAAGAAACAGAGTCAAGGATGTGAAGAACTAGAAAAAGGGTGGATGATTATCAGCTCTCTCTCCAAATCAGACAAGTGACTGAAACTGGCCCCAGAATTTCCGGTGTATTTTCAGAAAAGCTGTTAGTTCTGAAGTGGGTCAGATGGGAAAGTGATGAATACCCGTCTTCAATAGTCATAGTAAGAGGAAGGAGAAGGGAAGATGGAAGGGGAACGGGAGAGAGCAGGAGGAAAGGAGGCAGGGAGAGGGTCAGTGGGGACGGGAGGGGAGAGACAGACAAACAGCAAAGCAGCAAACTTCGGCCAACTCAGAGCAAGCCCAAGCGCAGCGCCAGCTGAAGCTAGACCCTCTATGTCCCCACGTGTGACACGAACTTCAGAGGGTCCCTTCCAGGCCCCTGAGGTCTATTCAACCCAGTGGACCCCAGATGCTCCTCTTGGGAGCCACCTAAATACACACCTTGGACGGAAAGGAAAGCAGCCCCCTCCCGGTCACTGTTCTGGAGGCTGCACTTGACCTGCCCGGCATCGCTGAGTTGCACGTCGTGGATAATCATCTCGGAGATGAAGCTGCCGCCCACCTCGTAGCTCTCGGAGGTGAAGCGGTCGTTGGTGATGATGGGCTCCCTGGGCGTGATGCTCAGAACCACCGTGCCGTTCAGAGCCCACATGATGAGCTTCCAGCCCGGCGAGATGGTGCAGTTGAAACGAGCCTCCGAGCCCTTCAGCACCGTGACGTTCTTGGGACCTTCTATGATTTCATAGCCAGATCCACAAGCTAAAAGACAACCGATGTTTCAAGGTGGTGAGTGGATGACTCTACAGAAGTCAAGTGTACGATTTAACCCTTTTGCGGACCAGCTGTGGCCCCTCGTGACCATCCAATGACCCAGACTCCGTGTTCTACTGGCCCTGACACCAGGTCTCCCAGGGGGTCAGGAGCTTCCAGTGGACAGGAAGCCAGCCTGTGCCCTCCGGACCTCGCCCGTGCCCTCTCTCCACAGCCACACCACTCCCAGCAGGACTGGGGGCGGAGGAAGCGGTGCCCCTTTCCCACCTCCAGGGGGCTGTTACCTTAAGTATTATCTGACCTCTGCCTGGCTGGAGAGCCACCACTAGCCTGTCCCGGTTACTTTAGGCAAGTTTTTCAGCCTCACTATGAAATGAGAATCTTCTTCCCAGTGAAATGGGAAGGACCTGTGATTTCCTCCTCTGGGAGACCCCAAGGCTCGGGTGGAAAAGGTCAGGGGGCAGCCTCTCTTTACACAGAGGGTGGGGAATCCCGGCTTGCCACGATCATGGCTCCCTGGACTCTAAGGACAGAAGTGTCACTGAGGCCACACCCCTCTTACCCAGGACTAGGAGAAACACGGCGGAGTGGGGGGTGGGGGGGACACAGAGAGGGAGATACGGAGAAGGGTGTGGGAGGGGAGACTCCTTAATGAGAACAGTCAGGGGATGCACATGGCAGCCTCGGAGAGAGTCTCACATCTCGTATTGGGTTTAAAACTCCAGCGGGTGGGTAGGTGGTTCTAGAACCTACGATGTGGACTCTGGAGTGAGTCCTGGCTCACTGGGTGAGTTCTCTGTGTCCACTCCCCTCAGCTGCAAAGCAGGGACACTAGGACCACAGCAACTTGTCTTTGGGGCCCAGTGAGATGACCTGTGTAAAGCCTTGTGCCGGTGACCCTCAAGCACTCAGTAAACACTCACTATCATGTGACCTGGGAGAAGGGACTGTGTTGACCTGCAAGACGAGCCAAGAAAGTCCTGGATTAAAGTAAAATTTTTGCCTTCACACTTTTCACAGCATCCTGCTCTTTGCTCACCAAATGCTCTGGTTTTAACCAAAATGACAGCTTCTGGCAAACCTCCCACCTGGGCTTCCATCCAGAGCTCTCCGGCTCACCGGAACTCGGTCAGAATCACGCATGATGGAGCCTGCTCTGCTCCTAAAGATCTCAAGAAATTTGGGGGGCATTTAACACTGATTTTCTTATCACCCCAGAAGAGCAAATGGGTGGCCAGGGTTTTCCTAGACTTTCCCATGTTTGTAGTTATAATTCAGAGTAGGACTTGCATAGCAATTGAGAGCCTTCAAGATTTCCGTCAAAATAATGCCATTTGCAGCAACATGGACGGACCTGGAGATCGTCATTCTAAGTGAAGTAAGCCAGAAAGAGAAAGAAAAATACTATATGAGATCGCTCATATGTGGAATCTAAAAAAAAGAAAAAAGAAGATACTAATGAACTCATCAGCAAAACAGACTTGCAGACATAGTAAACAATCTCATGGTTATGGGCAGGGGGAGGTGGGTGGGAAGGGATAAATTTGGGAGTTCAAGATTTGCAGATATTAACTACTATATATAAAAATAGATTTAAAAAACAAATTTCTTCTGTATAGCACAGGGAACTAGATTCACTATCTTGTAATTACCCTTAATGAAAAAGAATATGAAAATGAATATATGTCTGTGTATGTATGACTGGCGTATGATGCTGCACACCAGAGACTGACACACTGTAACTGACTGTACTTTAATTTTTTAAAAAAATGAATAAAATACAGATTTCTGATTCTCATCTTTCACCACCTGCTTTTAATGCTGAGGAAACGAAGACCAGCAACATCTCAGGACTTGTGATCACAGCGGTGGTGCTGGGACGCAAGGCAGGACCTCCTCACTCTGCATCTCCCCCCTTTCCCACTCCACCCACTCTGATCTCACTCTGAGTTCAGGGCAAAAAGATCCTCGGCAGGCCACCCCCCCGGCTTCTCTGCAGCCACGCCTGCCACTGTCAATAAGACCACAGTGCACTCCCACTACAGTCTGGAGCCACCTAACCCCACTGAGAGCCCCAAATAATTGCAGCCCCTCCTTCCTCCTGTCAACTGCAGTAAAACCACACGACATGAGGGTTGTGGGTTGTTTTATTTGGGGCAAAATGAGGACTATAGCCCGGGAGACAGGATCCCAGAAAGCTCTGAGAAACTGTCGCAAAGAGTCGGGGGGAGCTCAACATTATACATGACCTCAGTGCAGGGGGGGGCGTGCAGTCAGCACACCCTCAGGCAGAGGCTTGCTGCTGGTCACAAGGAGCAGACGTCACCGGTAATGATTTTAGTGCTTTTCGAGATATGAGGAGATGCAAGAATTTGGACTCATAAAATCTTCTCCTGAAAACATCTGATTATCTGAAGGCCTGTTCAGCCAGGTTTCCCGGAGCGCAGAGCGTCTCATTCCTGACCCCCACCCTGAACTCCGTGCAGGGGGTGTAGGAGGTCAGCGGCTGCAGCAG